TTTCACTAGAGTTCTAGATTCTGCAGCAAAATAGTACCTACTGTCCAACAGCACACAGAATACAGAAGAAGCATCTTTTCCTTCTGAGCCATGGTCACCTTACCTGGATCCTCAACACTGAGGTTCTTCACCAGCCACTGTACAATGTCAGCACCTGCAATAAAAATGGAAAAAACATTAAACATTGAAGGCCACAGAGCGTCTGAAAGCCCTGGGGAGACGTGGGGAGACTGAAATGAGATACAAAAGAATTGACATGAATTTTAATTTATTTTCTTTTTTTAATCTCCACTGAGGGTTTCAAAATGTTTTTCCTTCTTTTCCTGCAATTATATACTTAGTTATATATACTAAGTCCCAAGAAGTATTCTGTGTGATAGGAGACTTGGTATACCTTAAGTCAAATATTACCCGAATGGTTCCACGTAAACTGTTCTCTCCCAGTTGCTTTCCTCTCAAATCAGTATACAGGGAACTATGCTTCTGAAGGCACTATCTGCCAAAGAGAAAAGGGAGCCCTTTACTGGCACCTTTCACCCTTAATGTTAGAGGCAATAATCTAAAAGCACAGAGCTGAGTTATCAGTCAAAAAAAGAGAGAGAAAAGCCTATGTCAATGACACAAGCCATGTCTTGAGAAAGAAAGTGGGATTAAGTGTGCCTGAAACCAATCTATTGTTGAGTTGCCATTTGCTAGTGATCTCATTTGCTAGTGGCCAGGACCAGAGAAGTGGATCGTTAGGGCCCATCAGGTAATTTTTTTTTAGCTTTTCAGGCCCCATCAGGTAGTTCAAAGGCTGTTGCTATCTTTTAAATGGTGTACAAGAGCTCTAGCATTGATCCTCTGCATGTATACAACCTCTTGCATGGAACTCTCAGAAGTGGAAAATTGTTCTTTAGAAGCTAAGGCTTTTTAGCAAAATGCAATACCATAGGGACCACAAAATTTGGCTAAACCTCATACTCAGGAAGTTAAGCTTAAAATCAAACGTAATAGTGACTGGGCATCCAGTGTGTAAAAGCCAGTCAACATGACTTGCTCAGCATCAAACAGTCACAGGAAATTTAGCAAGTAAGCGTCTAAGTTACAGTAGCTTGCAGCACAATGTAATGATGCTATGTCTGGATGCAGACATAACACCAAGCCCCTCTCGGCATACCTTCATTTGTTGAGAAATATTTGCATTCACTCACAGAAGACTACTAGCCCCAATAATATTTAGCGTGGTGTTTTGAGATGTATCAGTTGAAGACAGTATATGGCAGGAAGTGATCACCGCATGGTTTGGTCTGACTGCATGAACCCTGGAGGATCATATTTGCATGGAGCACTTCTGAGTTCAGACACAGAAGGTACTTCAAGAAACAGTACAACCAATATGATGTTTATTCCAAAAATTTCGAAAGGACATTTTGCTCCATATGCCCTCACTTTCCACAGGCCCAGAACATTCCCACCCTTTCAGCAAACTTACAATACAACAAAGGCCAAAAGTCACAATTCTGATGTGCCACAGAGACGCAGGCACTGCCAGGGTCCCAGCTCCCTGCTGCAGTATCTGCAGGTCTCTCTCTCTGTGACTCTCCCATAGAGGTGAAATTCGCACTAGAAAAGCAGACCATCCCCCACAGAGAAGTGAAAGACAGCCCCCGCTCCCCACCTGACAATCTAAGCTGCCCCCCGGCTCCACTAGGAGGGAGCACCAGTAAACCCCATCCAGCACCCCTCTTTTCTCTCTGTCAGTCTTCAGAGTCAAGACTGGACCACATGGACCCCCATCCCCACAAGAAAAGTCAAACAGCTTTCTTGTGCCCCTGAAGATCAGGGCAGCATCTGCTTTAGCTTAATAATGGGCAAACAGACAAGACCAACAAGCAGCCACTGGCCGTGGCCTCAATCTGCCTTGCAGGTATCAACAAATCAGATACTAAAGCCCTATCTCACAAGCCTGTATTTTCAGCTAGGATCCTTTCATACTATCCTTCTTACAAATTCCACTTAAAAGCAATTTTAACTGCCACTATCCTATCTGGAAGGTTATTCCAAAACTTTTTTTTTTTTTCAATAGAACTCTTCTTGCAATTTCTAGTCCAATATGCAATGTATATGCATTTAATATCATACCCATTTTATCATTTAACTCAAAGAATTATTTTCCTTGATTAATTGTTGCTTCTGAATATTTCTAGAAAGGGTTGGCCCATTGCCTCCCTACCTCCATTTCATGAAACAAACCAAATTCTTCTTGTCTCTTCATAAGATGGACTCTTCATTTAATTGATCATCCTTCTCAGTGCTTTTTCAAATTTAAGTTACATTTCTTTGAACCGCGGTCACCAGAACTGCACACACTACCTTGTAGAAGGACTAACCAGGGCCTCTGGCAATGATGCTAACATTTTCCTGTCTCTACTGAAAAACAGCTTGCCAGGTGCATCCTAAAATCACTTTTTTTTTTTCACAGCTGAGTCACGTTAATAGTTCATAGTTATCCTATCACTGACAGACACACAGAGTCCTCTTTGTGCTTGCCTCCAACTGAAGATTGTTTGCTTTATGCAAAGGCTCTTGATAATGGTCCCTAAAGGTTTACTTTTCATACGGGCTGTTAAAATTCTCCCTAGCTCTACTTCTCTAGTTAACAAATTTTATCTGACTCTTCCTGTATGACCATCTACCCTCCTTGGGATTGATGAGGCAAGGAGGAGTCTATGCTCTTCAGATGGGAGGACAAGCTCAGGGTTGGTGAAATTAAGTCTTAATTTGGAGCCAGGATGTGGACTGTGTACACACTCGCTATGTGAACAAATAGTGCTTAGCACATTGAGTGTGGATATGAAAGGTATGATCAAGAGCCACAAGACAAAAACCACATACTTTCGAAAACAGGAGTTCTGAGATTAGTCCAGAGGTGGGAGTGGATGAATCACTCCACAGTTGGGCTAGGGGTACATTTCTCCTCTGTGACCCCTTCCAGTTTTGTTCTGCCTCCAGCACTTGGGTATTCAGATGATCTGCCAGTCTTCTGCCAGTCACACACCATAAGCCCAGCAAGATAGCACATTTGAACTGCTTTAGAGCGCTACACGTGTCTCAAGAGTCCTAGCTGACCACGGCTTTAGCCCATTTTCTCATACCATGCGTAAGGCACAAATGCCCAAACAATATGTAGCCAAGAAATCCAACATCTTTCCATTACTTTATACATGTGAATAACAGACTCCATTGATTCTCCCTATAACTTGTGGCACTTTGCTATCTAGTGCAATAAGCCACATTTTTAGTGAGCCTTGACTTATCTGTGCCCAGTATTATGTGCTTCCAACACATGGGATACCTTCGTGATATTATTCTTGCAGACACAAGCTTGTTTAGCCATGCTTTGAGCCAGGCAGATATGAACCACCTCTGCCCCAGAAGAGATGTGCTTTAGAGCTGTACCTGGGCACAGGACTGGGCAGGTCAGAGTACAGGTTCAGAGTGCTTTTATCTGCCTCTGCAACACCATGCAGACGTACCATTACACTAGCTACATTGCTAAGATTCAAGTAGAGCTAAGCAAAACATTTGGGGTTAGAAAATCATTTCACAAAGATGCAAATTAAGTGCTCCTGTGCTGTTATACATAAAACAAAAACAAAATGCTGTTTCAGTTCAGGCTAAATCAGAATCTTTCTTGTGTTTTCCGTTCGTCTTCCAAACTGGAAAATCCATTATTTGTCCAGACTTTGATATCAGATTACAGTCCTTGGGCTTGCAGTTATCTTTTAGTCATCTTATTGGCAAGTGGCATGACAGCTCAGCTCTGACAGCCTTCTAAACCAGGAGCTCCTTGCCTTGCTCAAGGCTAAGGGAGGTGAAGTGCATTCTAAACGATGCCTTTCCACCGACACAGGAATACTTACTGCAGGATTAAGTCTCGTTGCATTTTTACAAAGACCAGTCATGTCCCCGAAGTCACTCTCCTTTTGAGGAATCTATTCAATTTTCATCAAATTACAATGAAAAACTCAAGTAATGCTGAAAGTTGATTCACCACATGTTATTAAGATTTTCCACATTATTACGATTAAAAAAAGAGAAGTTTAAAGCAGCAAGTAAACTGAAAACATTGACTCAATCAGACCTACTGCAATCAGTCACTCCAGAGTATAAGGAACACTTGAGATCATGGATTTTAATTTGTCTCTGTTAAAAATATGAAGTAATTCCTGAATGTTGCCAAGAGCCTGGAAGATTTTATAGCTGTTCTCCAGTTGTCCTGAGGCAGGCAGATTATCTTTCTGCTGAGTTTGCTGAACCATTATTTATCACCTGCCAAGACTGATTACTCACCCTCGGGACAATGACAGGGCTTTCCTTCCTCTGTTAATTACTGTCATCATTAATAGCCATGTCACTAATTAATATTCAATCATAATGAAAACTCCTCACTGCCATCTCCCATAACACCTTCAATTTTTAGGGTTACCGTCATGTTGGCTTTGCCTTGGCTTGCGGCTGTTTCGCTCACTGCAACCTACTTTTGCCCACCTACAAAACACTGTGTAAGCCCTTTCTTAAACTAGCAAATTCAGATTTATCCTTACATGACACAGTGAAGATGTGAGTGAATCCTTTACAAGACCCTCTTCTGTCAGACCAAGATACAGATTCCTTTATCTATAAGTTTTTCAGAAAATCTCATCTTCATCCTCTCCTATAGGCCAGGCACTACTGATGGTCCCCACATAATTCACCTTCCTCAAAAGATCTTTTCTGGCTGTTTCTCAGATTCCACGTTTCACAAGCTCTTTCAGAGGACAAGAGAGGGAAACCCTCGACCCGACCACATTCTCAGTAGACATTAACGGGGCATTTGGTATCTTCCAAAAACAAATAATTGGATGTGTTTTCATGACAGAAAGCGTTGCTGGATCTAGGTAGAGGAATGGCTCCCATCTCCTCTATATTCCTCTCTATATATCTACATTTCCTCTAAGTTAGTATGCTCAGTTCAAGGATAGTCAACAACCTGTGAGCACCTAATTCCTCCTCGCCTATAATGAAATATATCCTGTTGCTTTAGGCTGTTCTTTGAAGCTGCAGCTGATGAACTTGCTTAATACCAACAAAATAGTTATATCTTTATGCCCAGATGGAATCACAATGACC